CTCTGTGTATTACATAATAATTGTTATCTGTAGTACATTTAGATTTCTCAGAATATTTCTAGGGAAAAAAAAAAAATTGTACCTAGAAAATGCGAACGTCGAGCCTCGCTAACAGATGCACGTTGCTCCATTCACTCCAGGTTCTAAGGCCACTGTATATACGGAGTATGCACTTCGAATAAATGACCTAAAACTTCCTATTAAAAATTGATAAAACTTCATGTACGGCTTTAAATTTTCGAGAATATATATAGATGTCCATCAAAGATTTTTGGAAGCTACTCAACCTCAAATTTCTGAGCATGAAACTTAAAAATATAAGTATTAAATATTTGAGCAAAGACCTAAAAACAAAAAAATCTCAAAGTCTGTAAGATCATTGTATAATTTATTATTAGTGTTTATTTTCCAGAAAATCGGCATTATGAATAACTCCAAAATATACTTTTATATTAATATTTCGATCATACTTTCGCTGGCTTCTGGCCTAGTAACCACACTCTATGGGCGTTCTATTTCACCACCTCTCTAAAAGACGTTTAAAGTTTACTTTCTCAAGTCGGCTTAGAAAGAATGATTTCACCTTCCTCTCAGAATGAAACAGAAACGTGAGCATAGAGTACACTATATATCACGAGGGGTCTCTGAGTGAGTGTGCCATTCTTGCCAAAGTAAATAATGAAATTTTCACTAATCTGGTAAGAAATCGAACCCAAGCGGGTATAAACGTGGATAGCAATGTATCTTTTCTATAATATAATTAATTCTGAAAACAACAATTGTAATATTAAGTGAAAGGTGAGAAGGAATATTTCAGAGTAGGCCATGTGCTGTAACCCGTGACATAAATTTCGCAGATAGATTGCATAATATTTAGTAGATTCATATCTGCTGGTAGCGGCATCTCCATGGGGAGGTTACTGACATGGAGTACGCAACTTGAGCTAAGATTTAATAATAAATGGCTAATCCAAAAACTACAATCGATTATTGTTGATTTATCGTCGATAACAATGGTGCACTTTCTACATCTTAAAGGAAACAATGCCTAAAGGATCGAGGGGTGATATCGGTACATCGTGATCGGATAGTGAGGAAGAGATCCCTGATTGATATGGGCGATACAATGACAATCGATACACACTCGCGCTATTGAGGCTAATCGACATGTTGAGTATGTGTACCAATTCTGGATGAAATGTTACATTGTCTTAACGTTATTATGGTAATGATTGATGACTAATACTCACTTAGAAGCATCAACAAAAAACAAAAGTGAAAAGTATTCAGAAACCTTTTATTATAAATAAAATACATTACTTATTGCTACCTCACTACCGAAGATAGAGAATAATTGTATTAGTCAGAGAGGTTAAAAAAAATTTTGTACTCAAAATCGAAAATTTTCACTCGCGTTTTACGTTTCAGACATCAAGGATCAAATTTGGTTCGGTGTCTGTCTGTAGTCAAATCTGTACTCAAATCGATTTTATAGGCATATCGCCTACTACCGTTTATCCGATTTTTATGAAAGTTTCAGGAATTGTGCAAATTGGTGTCTTCTAAATGGTCCCATGTAAACTTTATTTAATTCTAACCAGCACTTCTGTTTACGCAAGGGCAAACGCATTTTTGTAGATATGGCAATATTTTAGAAACGGCTCGTTCGATTTGACTCAAAGTTGAATAAAAGGTAGGTATTTGTAAAAAAAATAATGTAGGGTCAAGTTTATTGAATTTTGTCCATTGCTTTCTCTTATATATTCACAGACGTGTTATTCTTGATACGTCTATATCTCTAAAATCGCAAATTCGATTTGGCTCAAATTTGGAGGGAATTTAGGGATCGATGAACGTAAAATGAAATAGGCATCAATTTTATGAAATTCTTTATAATACTAACAAAAAAAAAAAAATACTTCCGCTTCCAGATCAGGAAATATGTTATTTGATATGCCTATAGTTTGAAAACGGCGGTTTCGATTTGAACCAAACTTGGAGAAAATTTGGAGAACAGAATAGAAATTACTTAGTTCAATTTCATTGAATTCCATTTAATAATTAAAATTAATATAAATAATTGTTAACAATATAATGGCTGTGAAATATGGAAGGCATTGATCATATGGAGTGGGAGTTAGGTTATCACAATATTGTTATGGGTTTATACAATTTTAGGTTTTATTTAAAAAAATAATTCCAAACGTTACTGGTATGGCACTTACTGCCGTTATTTCGTGTAATTTTTAGTAAATTTAAAGCATTTTTACTCTGAATTTGTAAAAAAAAAAAGTCTTATTTGTGATTGTGTTTATTTCCATTGAAGTAAACTAGCTCGTCGTGGTCTCGATTTTCTCTTTAAATATCAAAATTGTGCCAACTTCACTAATATTTTTATATTCCAGCTTAATTAGTATTGTTCCGAACAAACAAAAAGTTGAATTTTTCCTATGGATTTTTTGTTCCACCCATTTCACGAGTGAAAATATACCTATTAAGTATATATCACTAAACGGTTTCTTCCAGAGATTTTAATCTCATAAGATAATTTTTAGACCTTTTAATATAGACATTTTTTAGCAAATGAAAACGGCGAGGAAGCTATACTGACCTTACTTGGCAGATTTTTTTTATTTCTTTTGTTGAGATATACTAGTAAGGTAGGAAAATATAGCTTTCTTCGTAACTTGTATAATTTCCTTTATTTTTCATATGGTATTACTGGTTGAAATTTCGGGATATAGTTTTCCATCAACAGAACAGCGAATTTTCTTCGCAATGTGAGGATAAATTATACACACATGGTAACATATGGTAAGGATTATAAATTGCTATTATTTAAAGTTGAATTTACATTTTTGTTGGAGTGCATCCTTTTTCATAATATAAATATATTAGTCCGCGGTACAAACAAATTATTAACATCCGTCTAAAACTTCCAGAATGGCTTCAACTTATCGACAATATACAACTTTTTTATCACCCGACTAGGCAAAGCGAAACGAGAGTTAAGTGTTTGGGTCATCTGCTAAAAAATATGTAAAGCTTTTTTAATCGAACCACTTAACCATATCCGAAACCGACCATACCGAAACATATAAGTAAATTGATAGAGAAATTGACATCTCCGAAAATTTAAACTTGGTGTAGTAGTCGGCTTTCTATCACAATTTAAGTTTCTTTCGGATATTGAGATGCACCGATACATGGTATGAAATAAAGTTACCTATAGCCGTAATGTGTAGTAAAGGAACTCGACCGCTCCACCAAGTTTAAATATTAGTTGATGCCAATTTCCCTATCAATCTAAAAAACTATTTCAGTAGATATGGAAGTACAGTCCCTTAGGGTGGATAGAATTTTCCTATTCTCTCTAAGTAGTTTTTTTTTAATTGATTTTTTTTAAACTTTCTTTGATATGAAAAAGCAAATTCGATTCCTTTTTGAATTTGATTTCTTGGATGACTTTTTTCTATGTCAACTAAAACATTCATAACTTCTCAGGATTTTCTTCAAATTTAACTTTAATATAACCGTTGAAAAGTTGAATTACTGCTCTTCCAACCGACACCAATACATTTTGGAATTCATTGTTTTTCAAGCTAGAAATAAAAAAAATAAAAAAACTTCTTAGCCATTCTTATTTTATATCATTAGTTTTAATTTGTTTTCAATGATCGGGTTTATGACATTTTTTTTTAGCTAAGCTGTATAGCAGAGGCCTAAATCCCTATTACTTTTTGTGTGGATCAGTGAAGCCGTTCTAAAGTCGTCACAAGTTTTTGTGGTTGTTGAAGAAATCTTCAGGGATCCAAGTCTAGTCAAAAATTTCGTAAAGAAAATTTTAAATTTTTGGATTGCTATAAAAATTCGTGTTTAGGGTTTTTTAAAGGGCGAAAAACAAACATCAACTTTGTTTCTCCCTGAAGAAATTTTACTCTAGATACCAGACTGGTTTTTAATAAATATTTTATGTGGCAGATAACTACAGGTATGAGCACTATTTGGGGCAACCAACGTAGTAATGTTGAAGTCAATATTTTTTAGTGAGAAACAAAGTTGATATTCGTTGTTTGCACCTCAAAAAAATCTTAAATACAAATTTTTATAGCAATCGAAAAATTATAATTATCTGCACGAAATTTTTGCCTGGGCTGGCGGACTTGAAAATTTCGTCAACAAACATAAAACTTTTGATAAATTCAGAACGGCTCCCCTGATCCACACAAAAATGAATAGGGATTTAAGACTCTGTGATCGAAATGTTATAAATTCGATCTTCGTAAACAAATTAAAACTAAAGATATAAAATAAAATTGGATAAAGTTTTTCTTGATTTCTATGTTGAAAAAATGGAATACAAAATTTATTGGTATCAGTTGGAAGAGCAGTAATTCAGCTTTCTATCGGTTATATTGAAATTGAACTTGAAGAAACTCCTGAGGAGTTATGAATGCTTTAGTAGACGTTCGGAAATCAAGTAATTACCAAAGGTTGTGTTTTTTTATTTATATAACCATTCGTATTTAAAAGTTTTAAAGGGTCCTAAAAAGGAATCTTTTTTTTTTTTTCAGAACAAAAATTTACTTGCTCTATTTTAGTTTATTTACTCACAAAAAAATCAAAGCGATAGGTGTATAGCAACCTAAAAATCCGGGTAAAATAAATTTTGTTTGAAATTATATAAAGTATATTTTTCTCGGCTCCTAAGGCCCATCGCCACGAACCCTTGGACATGGGTCAAATATTTTTCGACCTAGTTTCACCAAAAAATGTTTCATTGAAATGGGTGATCCACGTCCGTAATTTCTCCTTATCAGTGATTTGATTTTATTAAATGTTGCTAAATGACTTTTTGCAATAAACTGACAATATTATGTTCAAATTTGACCTATATTTGACGACTAAGATTCCAGAATGACTCAATCTAGTATTATTATTATTGTTAATAATGTATTGCCGACCTATATACATATATTTTTAATTATTTTTTATAGGTGATGTGGTGGTTGGCGTTCGTACTGTTCCTTATTTGTCTTGGTCTTCTGATATACTTGGACACCAAGAAACCTGAACATTTCCCTCCAGGTAAACTTCCTGTAATATTAAGTAAAATATTATATTATTTATATTTATGGGTATAAAAATTGTTTTAAAAAAATGTCATAATTAAATTAAAGACTTGTTAATAATCAAAAGGAAAAGTACTTCAGATTTCCATATTTAATCTGCTGTATTCTAAAGTAGCATTAACTCAAAAATTATCTCTAGTGACAAGAATATATGTAAACAAGAGAGAGTAAAAACATTTTTTATGCTGATTTACCGATGAATAATTGTTACAGAATTTATTTTTGTGATATTGGCATTCACTACACTTCATTTTAGGTAAGATACTTACGATATTTTAGCCTTTGAATATGAAGCGTTTTGGCATGCTCCTCCAAAACCACAATGCATAAAAATACGAAAATAGCAAAAGTTCCGCAGTTGAATTCGCAACACTCAAGATAATGTAAAGTAATACATGACAAGTTTCCTGTTATTTTTGATTTTTACTTAGGTTCTTTGACTCATATTCTCGATCCTGTTGGAACGACGCATAGAAATTCTTATTTTTTTATTTGTAGAGGTTCTTAGGTATTGTTACGTAAGTATTGAATACTGGCTTTCACTTCAAACAGTTAATGAATACCTATCGCATGGATGGTCACAGAGGAGAGAGTTTATGGCGCATAAAGCGTTATTGAAATTTTAGAATTGTATTTAAGTACAAAATATTTCCGGAAGGAAAGACATAGTAGATCCAGTCAACGTCTCCAATGGGATAAGGAGAGGAGCTGATTCATTGAATCCATCTAAAAGAAGAAATGAATGAAGGCAATTCAGGACTAGGAATAGGTATAGGTCTCACGACCCATGTTTTTTATTCTTAATATTACAATTGGCTTAGCTTTTCTTATGCCAGCCAGACACCATGTTGCCTACGTGAAAATGGCCAAATGGAATTTGATGAGATTGATATGGAACAATCTAGCAGTGGCGGATCCAGGAATTTCCTCAGGTGCTTTCCTCATCCCTACCCATTCCTCCACCACTACCCATCTTTCCCGCACCCGGCCTGCCGGCACTTCCAGTCTGGCCCGCGAAAGCATCTTTGATTGCATAGTAAAGTTTTAAAAACTACTAAATTTAGCAAATTACTCATACAAGAGATTACTACAACATTCATTGCATGAGCTTTTTCCTCTTAGAAAGCTCATTTGACAGGTGAAATGTCATTTTTAGAAAAAGATATTTTTTTTCATCATAAGCTGTAGTACGCGGGACTTGGGAGGTCTCAATATGGCCCGTGATTCAAAAAGTTTGGAAACCACTGATTTAAAACAACAAATCCATTCTTCACGTTGTAAAATTCACATTCATAAATCAAAATTGAATTATTTCTTTTCTCGTTCATTACAACAAGTAGACCTGATTCCATTTCCCATTCGTGCAGAAAATTTCGTGCAGAAAATTATAATTTTTCGATTGCTATAAAAACTCGTATTTAAGATTTTTTTGAGGTGCAAACAACGAATATCAACTTTGTTCCTCACTAAAAAATATTTACTTCAATATTACTACGTTGGTTGCCCCGAATAGTGCTCATACTTGTAGTTATCTATCACATAAAATATTTATTAAAAACCGGTCTGGTATCTAGAGTAAAATTTCTTCAGGAAGAAACAAAGTTGATGTTCGTTTTTCGGCCTTTAAAAAGTCCTTAATACGAATTTTTATATCAATCCAAACATTTAAAATTTTCTTCACGAAATTTTTGACTAGACTTGGATCCCTAAAAATTTCGTCAACAACCACAAAAACTTGTGATGACTTCAGAACGGCTCCACTAATCCACACAAAAGGTAATAGGAATTTAGGCCTCTGTGAGCTACACATAATGTCATATATCCGATTTTTGAAAATAAATTAAAACTAATGATATAAAATAAAAATGGTTACAAGTTTTTCTTGATTTCTATGTTGAAAAAATGAAATCCAACATTGATTGGTGCCGGTTGGCAAGAATAGTAATTTCGGAATCTTCGAAATAAGATTCAATATTAGAAAATTTATTAAGATATATCAGAAAAATGATTAAGTTCAGATTCCGACGATAAAGGAAACCAAATAATTAGTACCTTACTTCACGAAAAAGATCCCAACAATAGTTATTTTAAGAAAAGAAAAATACAGAGGTAGAGAATTCATGAAAAACAAATTCTAATGAGAAATATTAAATTATTATCGAGACCAGTTTTATGAGTTTCATCTATTTATCAAGAAAAAAATGGTTGCTGGAGGTTGGAATGTGTTCAGATCTATTGGAACTGAAGAAAAACCGGAACCTTGAGAAAAACCGTATTTTCTTGTACTCGAATAAAAGATTGTTCGAAAAAAAAATGAAAGTTCGCTAATTTTAAGAATTATTTTTCCATCATGTATTTTACCTGCATGTATTTCACTTTTCCTAGCTCAAGTAATTTCCTTACATTTCAAGATGTCTTAGCTTGTTTTTCAAGTGTAAACCGAAATATTAATCAACCTCCGGCTTTAACATTTTATATATTAATAAAAAAAAATGTAAGTGAAATAATTCACCACAAAAATGACATTGTATTTAGAAATCCACTAGCGTTTATTAGCTTTGATTTTATAATATAAAGCCTTATATCGACAGCCACACTGCAGAAGCCTGTAAGGACAATTTCTATGGAGATTTTCTGGTCAATCTTGTCCTGGAGTATATTCTGATCTCACAAAATGAAATGTAGCGATGTTTGATGAAAGAAATAATACGATGTTTCACTTTGGCATCTTGTGAAAACCTGTGATTTAAAAACTAGCAAATTGTGATGTAAAGAACTGCAAGTTACAGTGAAGGATATACAGATTGTGTCATTACCAAAAAAACATAATGAAATGCTCAATGAACGGCGATCATATAAATGCAGAATGTATAAAGAGTTTTTCGCACAGACTACAATATCAATTAGCTTTATTAATAGGCTAAAATAAATTTTTTCTCATACGCTTGGCATTTTTTTTTTATTTCTGACCCGGCGCCTCTGGGCATATGCCTGGATTCTCCTGCTCTGAGGCCGGAACTGCTAACCATGGAACTAGACGAAGCAAATAAGAGAGTGGTAAGTAAGAATATAATATTAAGCGGCCTTCAAAATAATCGTAGCCTCCTGGACACTGCAAAATGAACCTGACTGGAAAAAAGCTGCAATGCCGCTAAATTCCGGATAGTGAAAGACAAATAATTGATTACATTAATTGGAAGATTTAAAACGAGATAAGAAAAGAACTCTAGTTTAATTTTTTCAAACCAATGAAACTTCGAAATTGCACGAAGCTCAGAAACGAAGAGATCTACAAATCAGCAGGTTACCTGAAACTTACCGAGAATTCGTGGATCAAACCAGGTCCAAATGAAGTTGGATATGTTAAAAAAAGAATCTTTCATAAGAAAACTCCAAAATGGGGCGCATTCACACTCCGTTCGAGTCGCCCCTTCAGAGGGAGAAAAAAAAACTGAATAACCCGCGTGAGTCAAATACTCGCTTCCCAGTCAAATTTTTTACAAATTTACATTTGAAGTATTGTTTCTCTACATTTTGGAAACTGGATTTGTTTCTGTCATGCTTTGACCATTATTAACAAAGTTATGGGTGTCACTACAATAAATTTGATTGCTTTTACCTAATACCTGTTTTTCAAAGTAACTAAAACGCTATCAGTTAGAATTAATGGCTCTAAAAGATTATTTGGCAAAAATATGAGCAAACAAGTTGCATGCCTAAGCAAACATCATTGGCTTAGGCATGCAAAAAAAATTGAACCGAAAATATAATGCTCAATAGAACAAAAATTACGCGTTTTTTTTTTTTTTGTTCTCCTGAAAATTTTAATTTTTGTTCTTACAGGCTTTTGCAGTGTGGCTGTCGATATGTAGCCTTATACTGCAGTATTAAGCCTTATAGGTGTGTCTTAATTTTTGTATAATTCCGGATTTTCTACCTTAAAATATTTACAGATTTATTGACATTAATATTTTTGAAAATTTTGGGGAGAATGGAAATGGATAAATTATATTATATAACTGTATGAATATGTGTCTTAATTTGTCCGAACCAGAGGATAAAATAATTCTCGCCCTTATTTCTTCTCTCCCCCACCACCAAGCCACTTGAAGAGTGCAGTTGATTTTGAGTTGCAATAATCATAGAAGCCCTCTAAAAAAATCTTTTGTACCACAGGCGGATTTACGGAGGGGAAGGGGACTTTTGGCTGAAGTTCCCCCCAAATGGTAAAATTTAACCACCTTTTATGGTAAAAAATATTAAAAATTATGTCTTAAAGTATTATTGCTCGTTTAATTATATTTAATAGGACTTCAAGAATCACTTAAACACCATTTCATATAGGTAGTTAGTATCTTTCTGTTCTTCCAAAGTAATTATCATTATATATATGAAAAAAAAAAGCTTCCGGGCTGAAGCTTCCCCCAAAATTAAATCCTGGATCCGCTAGTGTCTTATACTGCATAGGACACATATAAGAATGGAAAAATCTGTGTTCTATATTGATGAAGCTCCACTACCTTTGCTGAATATGTTTATTTTGTAAGTTTTTTTTTTTAAATTAGACCTATGGACAAGAAGTGAGGAGAAAATAAGATTTAATGAAGATAAGCCAAGACTATAAACTAATAAATTTTGGAAGTTAATTACCTAGTTTGAGGCTGTTCTCTACCTCAGTGGCCACCTGATCGAGGTAGAAGTCTAAAAACAGTGGGTTTGTAGATTATTGGAATCTATAAAATAACAAGATTTGAGTCCGTTTAATGTAGTTTACAACCGTCGGACGTGCGAGGGTGGTATAAAGTAAGTCAGCTTTTGTTCATTCTATATTTTTATAGTTTCATGATTAAAAATACATTGACCTGTTATTTACAAAATTATTATAATTATATTTGTGATTTCAAAACTTCTCCGTCTTTATGATTATTTCCTGTTAGACATTATAAGAGGAGAACTTTTTAAAGTTGGAAAGTTGTGAGTCCTGAACGCGACCGCTTGCGTGTCAGTAATTTCTATTTCTTTTCATTGCACAACTCTTTTGCTAAATGATGGAAACCCGCAGCCGGACGTGAGAATGGAACCGAATTTCCTCGTCTGTTGGGGTTGGGGGTTATAAAATATAGAAATTGGCTGCCAGAAAAGAATCATATCCTGATATGATTTCTTAAATAAAGGATAAATATTACTATTTCAATAGGTTTTCTGGCGGACGACATTGCATAAGTTAATTATGCAAATATAAGTAATTAAGATCATATTGATAAAGTTATATAATAAAATGTATCCAATTAGAGTTTTAGAAATTTATCCAGGAAGAGTTATTAAGTAAATTTGTGTTTTTTTTTAAATATATATAAGCTATGTTTTCTTCGCTGTTAATAGGATCTTAACCCATTTTTACGGACTACTTTTCTATTTAGAAAAAATATAATTCAAATTTTTAAAATTAAAAAGGCTTAAATCGTAAGGTCTCTTACGATCATCAGGATGTAAATATAGGAATGTATAGTAACAATAAATTGAGTAGATTTTAACAAATATGTAACAGATAAAATTGATAAAATGGAAAAGCAAAACTTAATATATAATATCAAATGTAATAAATGCACTAAAACATTTATAGGAGGGTCATCCAAAAAACTAAAGACCAGGATCACATAATATAAAAATATTTAATATCACATGAATACAACCGCTTTATCACTGCACAGTATATCGAATGACCATAGTATCGATATTAATTTACGATGATACTTGTATTTATTCTAATTATAAATTTGTAAAATTCTGTACTTCATCACCTAGTATCTACTATGCCGTTTGTAAATTATAAAAAGTCATTTCAGTAGTAACAGTTCTGGTTACTACTATTACTGCCGGCTATTGCAAAAAGTCTGTAATATTTATCTCTCTCTTCTCTCCACTCTTATAACCATACGTAATATGTTATATCAGGGGTGCCCATCCCCTCCCCCAAGGTCGATGGCGCATGTCCCCCTTTCTCCAAAGATAATTTATTGTTCTCCTATCCAATATAAATATATATAGTGCAAGCTAAAAGTTTAATTTAATAATTCGTATATTAAATAAAAATATACTATCTGCGATACTATACTATCGATGTTTTCCTCTTGTTAACTGGTTTGGAACTTTTCATCTCGAAAATTCACAACACCTTCGAAATATGGCTCCCTTCGAAAATTCAAAATCCTGTAAAAAAGTGCCCCCCTAAAAACTTTTGATGGCGCAAACCCTCCTCTGAACATCACTGTGTTATATCTATATTTTTTGCGTGTATCGGTGTAAGGATCTTAAAAATGTTCCTAGACAAAACTATTTTTAAAAATGACGATATGAAATATTGTGGATTTTATTTTTGAATGACAAACAACAATAACTAAAGAAACTTCCTGATAATGGGGCAGCGCCCCGAAACTTTGGGAATGTCACCAAATTATATAAAAAAGAAGTAATTACAATAGAGAGAAAATAAGGTAAAAGCAACTGGGGCTATTGCTCTGAATGGGCGCTTGCCTTGTTAAATAAAAAAAAATAAAAATACAAACGTAATAAAATAATGAACTTTAGCCTATCAATAAATTAACTGTATTAGAGAAATAAATTTGAAATATTACATAATATAAAACAGCTTAAAAAATAAATAATTTTTTTATGGGGAGGGAAGATGACTTCATTGTCCGAGGGCGCTGAATGTCTAAGGCCGGCACTCTTTATCAGAATGAATAATGACCTACCAAACAAGCGGATCTAAGGGGGGAGGGCTTTCGGGATGAAGCCCTACTCCCCAAATGGTAAAATGTAACCATGTTTTACAGAAAAAAAGATTAAAAACTATCTCTTAAAGTATTCTTGTTCGTGTAATTATATTTAATAGGACTTCAAGAACCATTTAAACACCATTTCATATAGGTAATTAATTTCTTTCTTTTTTTTCAAATTAATTAACATTATATGTATATGAAAAAAATCTTAATCCTGGATCCGCTAGTGACCTACCGTATTCAGACGTGAAATCAGATCGGGTAGATAGAAGCACAGAGCCTAAATATATATTTCTTTCATTTAAACCAGTTTTAACAGAAGGCTAAAATTTGTTTCGTATTTTCTTTAAATACACCGCTAGCAACTAATTATTAGTCCCATTCCTCTACTGTTAAAAAAAAAAAAAAAAATGTTTCCCAAGTCATTTATTGTTAATTAATGTTGCAGGACCAACATGGTGGCCAATAGTTGGAAGTGCGTTGGTGGTAGCCCAACTGAGAAAGAAGCTCGGAGGTTATCTTTACCTAGCTTCTGCTCATCTAGCTGAAGAATATGGACCAGTGGTTGGACTGCGGGTCGGGAAGGATCGTCAAGTCATCTGCTTTGGTTATGATGCCATCAAGGAGATGCTCACCAAGGAAGAATTTGATGGAAGGCCACAGGGTCCATTTTATGAAACTAGGACTTGGGGAACCAGAAAAGGTGAGTCGTCTATTGTTTTGCTTAATTTGAAAATTATTAAAACATGACGTAATCAGGGGTACCCATCCCCTCCAAGGATGGCATATGCCGCACCTCTACAAGAATATTTATTGCTCTCCTCTTCTAAAAAACAAGTAAGGGAAAGTAGAATTGGGAAAACTATGTATAAAATTCAATCACACTTGCTTTGTCTGGTGCGCTAGCGGATGCAAGGGAAGGGCGCGGGGGCGGCCCCTTCTCTCTGGAAGATGTGAACATTTTTATCTTGAAAAAATTAACTAAACAACTGGCAGTTATATTATATATTATTATTATTTTATAATTGGTAATTGGTTGACTGTCGTGGATAATGAAGAGAAGAATAGTTGGGGTCAGTCAAAAAGGAAGGCAAAAATAAATGATAATATTTATTTTTTACATATGCTGACGTTTCGACCTGAAGTTCAGGCCTTCATCAGGTCTAAGAAAATAACCAGATAACAAGGTATGAGAAACATAAGTAATGATGGTAAAAAAGATAATAAAAAATAGAAAAATAAAATAATTTTTTTTTTTTTTTTTTAATTTCTTTATTGAGTATTATAACAATCTGTCTGTTGGACATTGGTTATAGTGAGGTAGGATGACATTCACACCATATGTACAAAAAAATAAAATAAATAGAACAAAATTTTTTTTTTTTTTTAAATTTCTTTACTGAGTATTATAACAATCTGTCTGTTGGACATTGGTTATAGTGAGGTAGGATGACATTCACACCATATGTACAAAAAATAAAATAAATAGAACAAAATAATAATCAAAAGTATATACAATAGACAATAAAATGAGAGCGAAAACCAAACTGATGGGAAGGGATATTTTGGGATTCTATAATGGGTAGGATTCGTTTCAAAAGGATCTTTTCAAAACTTTTTGAAAGGATTGGGAGTAGGCTGATTGGTCTATAGGATGTTGAGCTATTGAGAGGTTTTCCTGGTTTTGGGAAAAGGATAATAGTGGAGTGTTTCCATAACAGAGGGAAGTGGGTGGTGCGTAGGATACAATTGTAGATATATGTAAGGAATATGACTGCTTTGGATGGAAGTTGTCGAAGGATTTGAGGTGTAAGGAGATCATGTCCAGGAGCTTTACGGGGGATTAGTTTTTTTAATTGAAATTTTACTTCGGAAGGATGAATAGCTTTTGGGGGCAAGGAAAGTGGGATTGGTGATGTAAGGAGTCCTTCTACTGTTACGGTGTGGGCAGGATGGGATTCCGGATGTGAAATAAATGTATTGGATAGGTGAATGGCGAACTCCTCAGCTTTATCTTCGTCAGATGCTGCCCAGGAGCCATCACCTCGTCGGAGAGGATGGGAAATGCGGTGAGGATTTAGGATTTTTGTTGTGGTTTTCCAAAGGGAATTGTCGCGAGAAGAGAGGGAAGATAGGTAGGAGTTGAAGGATTGTGATCTGAAGGTAGCTAATTCCAGTTTTAATTGTTTGCAGTAGTAATTATAGGAGCAGCGATCGTTAGGATGTCGGGTACGTTGCCATAATAATCTGGCACGGCATTTGGTGCGGATTAGGTTAAGGAGGTGTTGGGGTAGAATGGTCTTTATAAGAATTCTGGAGGAGTCTTTTGGGAAGGAGGCAGTCCAGGCGGCTTGTTGGATTGTGGTAGTAAAGGAATTTACGGCACTATCAAGGTCATCGGGAGTTATGAGGGATATGTTGAGATCAATATTGTCGGAGATTATTTGGCGGAAAAGGTCCCAGTTTACTGGGCCCCTAATGAATGACGGTGGAGAAGGTTTGGGAACAGGTTCAAGTGAAACATTAAGGATTAGAGGACTATGGTCAGAGGAAAGTTCATTTAGACGTGAAATGGAACAATTGAGGGGACTTAAGCCGCTGTGGATAAAGAAATGAAGAAGATCAGGATTACGGTTGGGATCTGTGGGCCAGTAGGTAGGAGAGTTGGGGGAAAGGAGGTGAAAACGTTGGGAATTGAGTGCAGACAGCAGGGTTCGGCCACGAGAATTCGTGGTTCTGGAACCCCATTGTTGGTGTTTGGCATTTAGGTCTGCACCCAAGATGAAGTGATGTCCTAAGGAGTCGAGGAGAGAACTGAATTGGGCATTGGATATGGATCGGTTAGGAGGGCAATACGCTGATGCAAGAGTAACCGGAAAGGAGAAGGTTTTTATCACGATAGCGGTGGACTGTAGGAAATCATGTATTGGTAATGGGAGTACGTGATGGGAGAGGGATTGGTGTACAATTACAGCAGTACCGGCATGTGCTTTTCCGTCAGGGTGGTCAGTACGATATGCCAGGTATTGTGGTATATTGAAGTGCTGTTTAGTGGTTAGTCGAGTTTCAGTAATTAGTGCCACATCAATGTTCTTGTCAAGTAGTAAAGTAGATAGTTCGTCTGTATGATTTCTAACACCATTCGCATTCCAAAGGAGAATGGATATGGGTTTAGGGATGTGAGTCATTTAAGGATTTTTCAGAGGAGGGATGAGGTGAGATACGAGATTCGTGAGGAGTGATATGAGTGGAGTAAGAAGGGATTTGAAATCGGTGAGGAAAGATGCTAACAAACTTGTGAGATCTGTTGCATTTGAAGGAGGAGGAATATGAGGAATTTGTTGTTGGTGGTTAGGTATATTAGGATGAAGAGGATTTTGAGGTTGGGGTTGAGGTTGTTGTTGTGGCAGGGCTTGACATTTATTGGTTAAAGTCTTACCTCTAAGTCGTTGGGAGAATGATACATCATTGTTTACAATTCTGGAAGGCTCTCTCTCTCTTCTTGTTCTTAGTGCTTCATCTTGAATCCGGTTTTTCTGGTGTCTGGTTTTGAGATTCTTGTAAATTTGGCAGCCTTTGTAGTTGGCCGGGTGTCCCTCCAAGCATAGGGCACATACTGCTGGATCTTGTATAGGTTTGGTGCACTCTACAGATTTGTGCTGTTCACCGCACTTCACGCAACGTGGCAGATGGTGGCAATATGTCTTCGTGTGGCCATAGGTCTGACAATTATGGCACTGCACGATGTCTCTCTTGGGATATGGCTTCTCAACTTTCACCATTGTGTAGTATATGCTCGTGATATCATATATTTTTTCGATACCTGGTGATAGCTCCAAGTCCACGAAAAACAATGGTAGTGGGATCCTATTTCGTAATCCTGGCTGCTCCCTGTCCTCCTTCAAAACGTTTGTTACCTGGCGTACATTGAAACCAAGCGTCGTTAGTTCTTCTTTAATAACTTCAGTGGGAGTTGAGGAGTGTAAATTTCTTATCACTACTCGTAAAGCTCTTTCCTGCCTCAGCTGGTAAGTGTGAAAATTCGCATTTGTTTCTGATAAGTACTTCACTATTTTTCGGTAGGCTTCTGCAGAATCAGGTGTTATTTTGGTGTCATTGGTCCTGTTAAGGCATGAATAACTGCCAGAGCAGATTTTATTTAGTTGGGTGCAGAACATTTTTTTTTTTTTTTTTTCTTAAAATAACAAAAAAAAAAAGATGTCAACAGTAAATATCAACTGCTCTGATATACACTTTAACTGTATCACGTGAATAATCAGAGAGATTCCGCTATAAAATTGGTAAAAACTGAGAGAGGAGTTGAGGAGACAACCTTCGCATCAGCTGATCGGATCAGCTGAAAAAAAATTAGAAAAATAAAATAGATAAATATAAAGTAAAATGAAATTGTTAGAATAATGACTAAGAATTAAGAGATAAATAATAAAAACCGTTACAAAGTGTGGAATGATGAAGTAGGCATAATCAAAAAGGGTGACAAAAGTGTTACAATGGGAATCTTAGAATAAAATGTAAAACATAAAAAAGAAATATGAAGTTATATAAGAAATGAAAATAAATAGTAAAATTAAAACATTTTCTTTTTTACCATCAGTACTTATCTCATACCTTGTTATCTGGTTATTTTCTTAGCCCTGATGAAGGCCTGAACTTCAGGTCGAAACGTCGGCATATGTAAAAAATAAATATTATCATTTATTTTTGCCTTCCTTTTTGACTGACCACCCCAACTATTGTTCTCATTATTATTATTTTAATTGAAGAGTGAATTTTATCAAACAAATAATTTCTATTTATATTTTGTACTCAAAAACAATAACTAATTTAAAATTTTTGAATATTTAAACTAAACATTCTTCATTTATTGGCGAGAAAGCTGATTAGAGTAGCTGAAAGTAGTGCTTTGATCCCTTGGAAACTATTTTAAATTGAACTTGTAAGAAAAAAATATGCAAAAGTTTCGTGTTTTATATTCATAGACGACAATTGTTCAGTTAAAGAATTTCGACAGTCATTTTATTGCAAAATATTAATAAAATAATAAAAAAAATATGTATATATAATTTTTTTATTTCCGTTGGCGCTACAGACCTTGTAGATCATTGACCGCGAGATGTGGTCTACTAGTCTACTTCTGATTCCTGATTTAGGTACAGTTGGTAGGGTCATCAGTCCCACTCCCGATCGGTGTGAGTTGCCTCCAGTAGACTGATGGGCATCACAAACCGGTGGGGGTGGGAGAGAGTGGCTTTCCCTGGTGAACCCATCCAAGTACTAACCACGCTCAGCCTTGCTTACCTATTGCAAGTGCCCTAGCCCTGCGGGCTAACTTAGCTGCAGTATATATGTACATACCTTTGGTGTATGGAATTCAGCTGTTTCGCAAATGTGCTCTATCCTCTCAAAACATTCCTGGCCCCTCCACTGGTCTGGTCTATCTACTTTTCCTTATTCCTTCCTTTGAAAGTGTCTCCTAATTTAATAACACATAAATTTAATCCAATGTTTTAAAATGTGCTTCCCTCAAAAATTCAAAATCCCATAATATAAAAATGTGACCCTCAAATTTGTTTGCCATAGGTTGCACCATGCAGCTCTACTCTATTTTGGGCACCTCAGTACCTTCTATCATAAACAAAATTAATTAACAAATAAACGTTGCATTCTGAAATAATTTTTAAACAATTGTACAATATTTTATAAAAAAGAATAAACTCACATTTAAAAACTATTTGATAGCGCTTTATTGTTGTTCCTGAGTTTTAATCCATGTGATGGATGCATGTAGACAGTAAGGTACTACATTCCCAGTGCTAATATAGTACCTTACTACTATATTAGCACTGGGAAAATTAAAAAAAAAATCAGGTTAGAAACATAAATGTTACTATTTATATAATTGCCCACTTATGTATGTAGTTTTATTTGAGATTTTTTTTCCTATTGCCATTAAATTTTCAATCAATTTTATCAATTACATTGTTGCTTAGTTTCTTTCTGAAGAATGTGAGGTAATTACAATTTTTAGAATTAGTTCTTCTTCTTTATTATATTATAGTTATATATTTCTCACTTATTTACGGGATTGTAGTTATACAGTTCTATCTTAATTATGTTATTATACTTATATATTTTATTATATGGTTTTTATTTTATTATATATTTCTCCTCTATTAATAATTATCATGTCACTTTAATTACCACACTTGATACAAAGTGGTTAACTATTGAAAAATACAATAAAAGTAGGCAGGTAATACACAGTGCCGGCCTCAGACATTTGGGGCCCTGGGCAATGACGTCATCTCCCCCAAATATTAATTCATTTCTTGAACCATTATATTTTAAGTAATATTTGAACTTTATATCATTATGTCTGTAACTCAGTTGCTTTCTTAATAGGATAAAATTATTTATTTTATTTCTATTAAGTGGCGGTGCCCGGTGCAATTGCTCCAGTTTCTCCGCCCTAAGGCTGGCACTGGTAATCCATTAAAAACACAACTTGGAGAGTTCCAGACCATCTAATTTGTTGGATTACTGGATGTAAAAATATGTGAAATGAATTATACTAGATTAAATTATTGGTTAAAATGATTGGTTTTCAACCAAGATTATGTATAATTTTCAGGATTATTGCTGACTGATGAAGATTTCTGGCAAGAACAAAGGAGGTTTGTTCTTAGGCATCTTCGAGAGTTCGGTTTTGGGCGCAGGACAATGGCAGAGTTGGTAGAGGCAGAATCAGAACAGCTTGTTGCAGGCTTTAAGAAAAAACTTGCTGGTTTTGAAAGTTCAGGTAAAGTTATGGATATGGCAGATGCATTTGGTGTCAATGTTCTCAACACTCTATGGATGATGATGGCTAGCATTAGATACTCTCCAGAGGACAAGGAACTGAAAAAGCTACAAAATTTACTCACAGAACTATTTGCCAGCATAGATATGACAGGGGCACTATTTAGCCAGTTTCCCTTACTGATACATATTGCTCCGAAGTTGTCTGGATATAAGCAATTTATGAGTATTCATCAACGTGTCTGGGCATTTCTTAAGGTAATTGTTATCTTAATAAAAAAAAAAAGATTATTTTTGAGTTTCGGATTAGCAAACAATGTTTAATGATTACAGGCTGAATTGGATAGGCATAAAGAAACCTTCCAAAAAGACGACCCTAGGGATTTAATGGATGTATATCTACAAATGTTGAATTCAGAGGAAAGAAAATCGAGTTTCTCAGGTGATTAATCAAATATTTTTTTACTATTATTTTTTTTATTCTGTCTAATGTTTAGAGAATTTAAATATCTGATCTTTCTTAATATCATTTTTTTAATTTTTTTTTTTTGGCCATAATTTTTAATAAATGAGGAAAATATTTCAATGTCTCTCTTAAAAAGTAGTCAATAATTTAGTAATAAGCTTTCATAGATTGAAATAAATCATGTTCACAGAATTACAGCTTCTTGCAGTCTGCATGGATATGTTCATGGCTGGTTCGGAAACTACAAGTAAGTCCCTAGGATTTGGTTTCTTATATATGCTCCTCTACCCTGAGGTACAGGCTAAAGCGAGAGAAGAAATTGACAGGGTTGTAGGTAGGGATCGACTTCCTACGTTAAACGACAGACCGAAGTAAGTAAAATATCACTAAATGTAATTAGTATGAAATACATTTTTGGAGCAAGTTGGTGAATTTAGTTACTATACATGTTTGTTAATCCAATTTTTGATTAATTTCTCCATATCTAGGAAAGTAATATCAACAATTTATGTATAGTAACAAATATTTATGGACCAAAGTTCTTTTAAGTTACTAAAATATGAAATACTTTTTTTTAATTTTATTTTTTCAGCATGCCCTATGTTGAGTCCATTGTATATGAATCTGTACGAGTATTTATGGGTCGCACGTTCAGCATTCCACACAGAGCACTGAAAAGTACTACACTTCAAGGATATAATATTCCAAAAGTAAATGAAATTTCAACAATGATATATATTAAAACCTCAATTGTCTGGTATTTGTTTAATTAGTAATTTGATTCTGGTCAAACATTATATTTATTTTCACCTAAAAAATAATCGTAATTACTATGATTGTTTAATAAATTGTAAGAGAATGTGGGATAATTGTGCATTAAATTTTACTGAATGATTGTTTTAAATATTACATTAAAAATCGCATTTATTAAATCATGGCCATTTTTATGAGATTGATAGTTCAATTTAGTAGTCTTGAGCACGTACTTGTCCTTGACTAAAGTAGTACAAGTACAAGCAAGGTATCTGGAAGATTCCTTACTGAATTAGTTATTGGGGTAGAGGAGAAAATGGAAAAATGTCTAAAGGAATATATTATTAATTTAATCTTTAATTAATTTTAAAACTTTTCTCAGGTTCACATCTTAAAATGAAATACACAGAGACAGTCATGAAAGTGGAATATAGGACATACCTAGACTATATTGTTTCCGAAATGAATTTATTTTGTGGATAATAAATATTAAAAAAGAAATATATATTATTTAAAAATAAAAATAAAAAGGAATGTTTCATCATACGTCACTGTTTAAAACATAATTGACAGCTCATTTTATTGCACCTTAGTGAACTTTCATGGGTGATTTGTGATTTATCAGTTTTTAGATTTCACTCTAATAAAGAAGCAGCTTTAACTTGTTTCAGGTTTTGAATTAAACCAAATGCTTATGCAAATTAAAAATATTAGCATTTATAAAGAAAAATAAATTAATGTTATGATTTTGAACATATAATAATATTCATTTGTTCTTTTATAGGATACTATGCTAATAGCCAATTTTAATGGTGTCCTCATGAACAAACAATTCTGGGGCGATCCAGAAGTTTTCAGACCTGATAGGTTTATTGACAAAGAAGGAAAAGTAGTGGTACCAGATTATTATTTGCCCTTTGGCTATGGTATGTTTCACATTGTTTAAATTAGATAATTTTAAGTGAAGATTGTTAGTGAATTTTCACACTAAAATATAGCTATTAAATTTATAAAACACTAAATTTCAATTAAAAAATCAGAAATATTATTATAAATTAATGAAAACAAACCTAAATTTTATCTTTAATTATTAGAAAATGATAAAATTACAAAAACTATAATTATTTTGTATAAAAGAAGAAGAAATAAAAGTATGAAATCAAATGGGGAACATGAAAAAATAAAAAACAAACAAAATAAATAAAAGCTTTTCAAAACTAATTTGAACTGAAAAATTATAGTTTAAACTTGTGAAATTGTGTTATTTTTTCCCAACTCTCGATTGAAAACTTCATCAATGGCAACATTTAAAAAATTATCACTAGTGATGATCTAAAGGCAACTTGTTTTCTTTAGAATAAAACAATGTAATTACAAATTAAATCATGTAAATTATCTTTGAAATAGTAATCATTAATGTCGTATATTTTTACTTTAATCATTTCAATTTTTGAATTATTAAAGCTGATGATTTGTTAAATCTGATATCTAGGTAAACATAGATGTTTGGGTCAAACATTGGCAAGGAGCAATATCTTCTTGTTTACCGCTTCATTATTACAAAATTTTGAGTTCATGATCCCTCCTGGTGAAGCACCTCCTGATACCAGTGGAATTGACGGGGTCACACCTTCTCCAGGCCCTTACAGAGCTCTCGTAAGATGCAGAAAATAAATGTGAATAAGATTTTATTTGTATAGTCCTAAATAATGTGATAATTCATGGATAATATTGATGTATATGTATAATTGTATTAAGATACTAAAAAAATATCAAAAAATGACCAATTATATTATTCAGAAAGGAGGATACATAATGAAAAATATTAATAACAACCAATTAAACCAAAATTTTTAAAAAAATTGATCAAATCTCAGAAAGGTAATAAATAAGTAATTGTATGTAAATTTTATGAAATAGAATAAGTGATGGATGTTATGACTATTGACTGTTAGTTTGTAATTGTATTTTATTGTATATTGTTAATAAAATTCATTGTTCTTAAAAAGTATCCTTATTAAGCTTTTAATTCCCTCACTAAATATTTTTCCTCAAAACATATCCATTTATTTTAAACTGTTGTATTACTAACAATTATTGGCAAGATGTAGTTTTCTTGTACTTTTCGAAGTTTCTCCTTAAAAGTCATGTGTTTATTGAACATCATGGAATAATGCAATGAATACTCTGATTTTTCATTTTTATTAATTTTTTTTGGGTTGATCAAAGAATATGTTTTAAGAATAAAACCCTAAGTTTTTACCATCCAATGTTGGACTATCTAACATTGCAAAACACATATTTAATTCTATAAACTAAACTAAGTAACTAAAGAAACTGCTTGTATAACCTGCTCTTGTGTTTCAAATAAAACTGTATATATGTAGGGGTTAAATCTGTGTCACAAAAAATGCAAAGCGTTTTTAGTAAAAATTTTCAATTAAGTAGTCAAATTATAATGACTCGTCGGATGTTGATTTGAGTAGTTAAATGACCATTGAATTTTTGTTTGCTTGGTATGTTGATAAAGCAAGTAATTTTGGTTTGGTACCATGTAGACTATTTTTGAAACATAGTATTGTTTTTTTTCCATAAGTCTCGTCATAACCTCTTTCTCTCAACTCATTTCTCAAATTATTTTTCAGGGTCAAATTTAAAAACCTATATGTTAATACTCCTTTAATCTAATAGTAATGGCAAGCGAACATTTAACAGTAATGAGTGGTGAATGCAGCTCCAGATTAATTAAGTAGCTTCAATAAAATTGGTCAGAAAGATAGAAAATACAAATTAAGCTATCAAACAGTCCAGATTTAAATTTGTTACACTGAGGTTTGTTTTAACTACAAACAATCACTAAATCAAGGTCAATAGCCTTGCAAATAATAATAATATTGAATTTATCAAAGCAGTAAACACTTCTTTTATTGTCCTCCCCTTCCTCGCCTATAAGGCTATGCCGGGTTTTCCCGGACCAGGGAGTGTGGGCGGGGATTTAAAAGACTCCCCCGGCATCAGCACGCGAACTCACATCGGGACTCGTGACTATATTTTATCATTGTCTCATATATCAGGATGCCGGGCAATGGCGATGCTGTACACACACGTTAGCCCATTCGTCCATGGAATGTATGATGGTTAGAAACAATTTCTAATATAAAAATAGTGTGAATGTGATCTGTGAACACTATTATAAATGTCCTAGAGACAGATTGTTATATTTTTCAATAAATAAGTTAACAAAAAAAAAATATATATAAAAAAAGTGCTACGAAAATCAATCAAGCAAGAAACAACCGACAAGTTAAAACTTTGAAAATGGAAATGGTCAGAGTTCACAAATATGATACTATAATGGATAGTCTGGAATGGAACCTCCAGAGTCAGTTAAGCCATGAGAGAGATCTGACAATAATCTGACGAGTTCTGAAAAAAAAAAATTAGAAAAACAGGCCACACCATTGTTGGCATCAAATATCTTGTAAGAAATAGGTGGAAGGTAGTGTCAGCTTTAAGTTGCACTAAAGGGATTTTGAGTATTTCATTCCTCTGAAATCATAGTTCACTATACGCAGGGTATCAAAACGAAGACATTATCAACACAACATCCAACAAGTTTTTATTCAATGATTAACATCTTTGTTTTTTTAAAATAATATTTGATTATACATACATCACTGGAGTCAAGCAATATGAAAATAATAGTTAAATGATCATTTGTTATTTATGTAAAGTAACTACAACAAACATGTTCTTCATGTACATACAACTCTCTTAATCTATGAATGAAGTTAAATAGCAACATAAAAATATAAATCACAAAAACTGGAATATTTTTGTCTTAATTTATAATATAAATTAAATGCTTTAAGTACACATATTTATTTGACAATGATTAATTTCAAGATAAACATTGACATATACAACATGCATTTTATTACATCCCTGCTAATATTTCATAATTAATATAATCACATGGCCACTATCATCACTATCTATTTACAGTCTTAAATCAAATTGAGTCCTTAGCTCCACGATTGGTACGAACTTAAGATTAATTAATTATATAAAATAATAATAAACCTCTCAATAAAATAATATATCACAGTTGATAGCATTCTTCACTACTTCTGAATGATCAATTAAGCATGATAATATCTTCACAGTGAGATTTAATTTAAGGTAAAACTATATACCTTTCAATAAAACAAAAGTTTACAAAAATGAATTTTGTTATTTATTGTAGACAATTAATAGCAATGTTAAAGTTAATTAATTAATTAATAATAATAGATCATAGTATTAAGAGTAAAAAATAATTATTATCAATCAATTATATGTGATGATACCTAATTAAATTTAAAAATAAATCATTTTAACAAAAATTACACTAAAATTGTTTTATGTAAAGGAAAGAGAAATAAAGTTTTCTTATAATTGTGAATAATTGTTCAGTGTAGAAGATATATTGAAGAGAGGTTAGTTTAAGATTTCAGTCCATGAAAGTACAAAGTAAATCTCTAAAGTTTTATAACCATTTTCCTCAATTCTTAGGTTTTTAAATGTAAAACAAAAAAAAAAAAAAAAATGTGTAAAATCAATGATATAAAGTGGCACTTCAGGCGAGTCAATTTTTACGAAAAAGTTGCTGTAATATCCTTAACTTAAATATGCATTTTCAGTTTCGTATGGCTTTTCGTTTTTGAGCTAGACTGTTATTAACACACACAAAGACCATTTTATGGGACTTGGTTATTTCGACTCAGGGAATCTTAAAACGTGTATTTCTGTTGAAAATTCAGATTAAAAAATTTTCACATCGCGATAATTTCCCTTACTATATGTTACTTTTATAGATAAGTGAAAATAATAAATAAATTATATCTATTTTTATTTTCTTTGTTTTGACGTTTTGGCCTAAGTTATGACCTTTATCAGAGGTAAGCAAAGGGATAAAAAATAAAAAGATTAGAATATTGTAGACATAAAATATTAGTACTATTTTGTTAAATTCTTATTTGTTATCTCTTCTTTGCTTAGTTCTAATGAAGATCTGAAACTCGAGGCTGTAACATCGACACAAAGGAAATAAAAATATATATAAATTATTTATTTTTACCTGGTACTTTCATTGACTGAAAATCCCAACCAAAATCTCTTGATTATTTTATTTAATTATTTTTTAAAAACTGATTTGAATTGAAACTAACAGGAAGCCAAACCTGTGGAATTACTTAATCTTTCTCCCATAAGGTTATTCTATGCACTGGTTGTTTTTTTTACTTTAGTTATTTGTTACGAATTTCATTTCCGTGCTGTAATTAAGTATAAACAACTGTAGAGACATAATTAAAAATAATTAGTAATCAGAAAATGTAATTATCAATGGGCACTTTTTCCCTTTCTAATATAATAACAATTCTAGAAATTATTTATAAATATAATCAGTTAAATGTTCATGAATAGTGTAAGACTGTTCATGTCTAATTAAATGTTTAATTTTGACAAAATAAAAGTAATGTTCATATTATTTTGTATATAGTTTATTCTTTAAAATGAAATGATCTTTGTAATTATTTTATAATTTATTTATATAATGTATGTGCATATTACTTTTCTTTGGATGGTACAACGGGTCTTGCAGATCTAGTAAAATATGATAATCTGAAAGCTTTATAACTTTTGGGAGGACAGATAGCTTGGAGAGGTTTACTTGATTAATTCCATGATAGAGAAAAAAGGTACTTAACGATATGGCAGCCTTTTATTTTCCTACTTAAAACTGCCTTTCCTGGAAATGTTTAATCAAACCTACAGGTTCAAAGACAAAGATTAAGACGTCCAGCGTGCCACCTAGGATCCATATGTGTTCTATTATATAATGTAGTCTTTCTACTTTTTGACCAACCATACTACAATTCCCAAATAGCATATCACTCTGCTGCCTAGCTTAAAGAGATAAAAGACAGAAGCAATGAAAAAATCACCAACTGTAAAACAATATAACAAACAACTAAACAACTAAGTTTTTTAATTTTAATTTTAAAAATAATTTTAATTTGTTAAAACATAATCTACTAGCTTTTCATAAGCGTATTTAATGACTATTGAGCATTTTTATACGCCCATTAATTATTAGAATCCATAAATATACAATAAATCCCTTTCTAAAAATTGATATACAACTATGGAAGAATGTATTCCCAGTCATTAAGAGGTGAACCTAGAACATTCTATATAGAAGCAGGTTCTAAGAGATCTGTACCTTGTCTGGAGCCAACTAACTTAAATGTTCGGTCAAAATCAATAGTATTATTCAATTTACAGACATTTAAACATTTAGTGTTATTTTCTTTAATACAATAATTAATATATTTTTCTTTGTGTTTCTTATGATTCTTTTAAATATGCATTTGTTTCAACAATATGCTTGCTAACAGTTGGCTATTTAAAATGGTAATGACACAAATTTTTTTTCTTCTTTTTTTATTTTATTATTTTTTTGTCTTGGAGGACTTATAAAATACATTTATAAAAAAAGAATAAAATATCTTCATATACTCTGGATACACAGCGATAACACGAATATTACCGTTAAAATAATGGCAACTTGTTTGATTATTACAAAATATATATAATTATAAATATATTGTATATATACACACATACATACTAGATATAAATATATAAGCCTATGATTTTCAACAACCCATTATGTTCCAATTCTCTTAAATTTTTTTTTATAATAAAAATAAAAACTTAAGAAATTATATGGTACAAATATAACCATTTCAATTTACCACAAGATTTCCTCAGACACTTGACCCATTAGCCGATTCATTTTTAAACTTAATAGGCTCTTTATAATTTTTTCAACGAACATAAAAAAAAATGAAGATAACTAATAGGAATGCTCCCCTTTGGAGCAGTGAGTTAAGATCCGATATATTTTTTTCAGATGAATCAGCAGAAAATTGAATTTGATTGTGCTACGGTGGTGCACTGATATAAGGTGATGCTGTCTCCTCATGTCACCTGTTCCCATTAGTTTCAAATAGTATCTAAAAATAAAATAATATATTTGAATAATCAGACTAATTAATTAGAATTATTGGATACTTAAGTGAATTTTAATATCTGTTTACATGTCACATTGGAAATTCAAATAATATCAGTAATTTACCTCACTAAGAATAGCCCAGTTCTCACTTTCGCTGTGCACAGTCAGCCTTATCTCTTTTATGGCACCAAGTCTGTGGTCAACTTTACCTTCCGCAATGCCCATATTATCAAATCTACCTGCAAATGTTAGATATTCTAAGCATTAGAAAAAATTCGCATTTTCTCAACAATAAAACCAAATCAGAGCTATCTGACAATTTCAATAATTAATATAAACAAATAAAAAATATTTATTTCAGGGCAGAAATTTAAAGAAGCTAGAATTGCTCAATTCTGTTTGAATATCACTGTTCTAAAAGAGAATTGGTCAGGAAGCAGTTAAATGACTCCTAAAAAGTTTTTTAGTTCAACAAATGTTTAGCTAATTAATTCTCAAGGGACTAACAAAAAGCTTCACTAATCAAAGAATTAATTATTAAGGTTTATTTAGGGTCCATTATTTGATTTTTTTTTTTTACTTTTACTTACCTGTGCACATAGACTTTGCATTCTGATAAGGGAGGATTGATCCATGTTTATATAATTATATAATACATAAAAAATTATGAGAGATAACTTTACCATACTCAACCTAATTATTGTAAAACAAATAATATAATATTACATATAAAAATCAATTTATATATGTAAGTAAAGTGAAATTTTAATAGGAGTGATATCAAACCTCAAGAGCTACAAAAAAATTCATTTAAACAAAAGGGCAATTCTCAGCAGAAAAGTAGGAAACCTAGTCAGTTTTTGTGTTTTTTAAGTGTCACGTTTTTTGTTGAATGGGAACCAATAACTACAGAAATATTTAATATAAGTAATTAACAATTGCTCCACTGTAAAGTAGAGAGAATTTACTTTCAATGAATATAGAATTTGTCATTATTAAAAAAATTTAAAGAGGATTTATGAGAGGCTAAACTAAGATATACTCTGTATAAAAAAAATCTAGTGCGGGCAACACACAACTTTCACTTACCGCTCTAGAAATTATTTTCTGGCAATGCTGGGCTATTATAAAATTGTTTGAAGTGCATTTTAAACGGAGCTAAAGCTTAAAGCTTACAGATAACAAGTCATTAAGACCATTATAATTAGAAAATGTCTATTTAATATATCGACGGTAGGCAATAAAAAGCCAGTTACTTCATCTGCTTTTATAAACCAACAACTTTCTTTGCTTTTATAAACCTCAGAATGATTAAATCCAGTTTCAACATTTTTGAATAATGTCATTTTAGTGATATTTTTATTTAAAAAAGTTATCTATGCAGACAGTGAATAAGTTGATTCCGGAGGTGGTGATTGCAGTATTGATATATAGAACTGAGAATAAAAGTATAGATTTAGGTACTTATTTCTCATGAAAAATGTTCTTAGGAAAGATACTTTATTAAATATCTGTAGAAAAAAGGTTTTTTTAGTCTCAACAATTAAAAAAGTATATTTTAAATTTATCCAAATTTTCACCTCTTCAGGGAAAAGAACTAGAGTCCATATCTTTCCTCCTAATTGGTCGATTTCAGCGTATTCACAAAAAAAGTGTATACTTTTTGACTTATTCGGAATTTAATTTTACCATCCCTCGTAACTTTTTTTCCAGCTTCTTTTCGTTGAACTATGTTATATAGATAAATTTAAAGGATGTCAAGAAAATGACTTTAGCGAGGTTTCATTGAAATCGGTACATTTGTTTGGCGCTACAGTCTATAGCAACGCAGGTTTTCCTGCATTTTTATTTTTTTATCCTTTATTTACTTATCAAATTCTTTCAAAAGTTATATGTAGTATTTTTTTGTAACTCTGAATAATGCGAAATGATTAACTTTTTAAAATAAACCATATTAAAGGTACTTTAGAGGAATACATATATGAACATTGGGCATTTAAGCCCTGTAAAGTGACATCAACAGGGATAAGACCTAAATGATATTAAAGACCACTTAATTATAAAATGATACTTAATTATAAAATGATACACTGAGTTTAACCAAAATCGTTTGAGCCGTTTTTGAGAAAATTGTAAAAATGTGTTTCAGCGTTCATATAAAGTGGCACTTCCGGTTAGCCGATTTTAACCTAAAAGTTGCTGTCACATCCGGCCCTTACAAACCTTAAATACTTAATATCAGTTTCGTACTACTTTACGTTTATGAGCTAGACTGTTAACACACACAGACACACACACACACACACACACACACACATACCATTTTGCGACACTTGGTTATTTGGACTCAGGGGACCTCAAAACATGTATTTCCATTGAAAACTGAGTTTCAAAAATTTTATATATTACATATATACGTAAATGAAACTAAAAAATCATAAATTATTCACAATTTTTTTTAAACATTATCCAACTATACTACAAATACCCCACCTTTAGAATAAAACTTTCTCATTTAATAAGCTTTAAGTTCATATTAATTAAATTGAGGTTTATTTGGCAAAAACTTGATTCACCTGTAAATTTTTATGAAACTATGTTTTTTCTCCTATATCTTTATTATTAAAATTAAACAGTATTTATAAGTGGCATACTTGATGTTGCTGATCCTAATACTTACGTTTTCATTAAAATTATTCAAGCAATCAGAAAGTTTTTTGTTTGGAACATAAATTTTAGGACTAAAAACAATAATTTTTTACTTATAAATACAGGTCAATTTGTATGACAGAGATCTGGAAGAAACATAAAGTTTTATAACCACTTTTCATGAAAAATAGTTAAAAAATAATTTTTTTTTTTAGAAATAAAAAATATATTTAGACAATTATTAATTATCATAATAGATCCAAGAAAAAAAAGAAGTAAAAGCTCAAGAAAAAAAAGAAGTAAAAGCTCTACAACAGTTAATTGTAATCTTTTTGCTGAAAACACGAGTACTTTTACTTGACAGGATAAAAAATCACATGATTTTTTTTTAACACTAATTGAGGTGAATCTCAAAATTTTAACTAATAAATCTCAACTTAATCATTACAAACTTAAAGCTTATTAAGTGACAATGTTTTTCTAGCATTTGGTTATCTGTAGAATGGTTGGAAGAGGAAAAAAAAAAAAAAAATTGGCGAATAATTAATGATTTTTGTATATACAAAATTTATTTTACATTAGTTTAGCCGCTCAAAAGTCTCCTTTAAATATTTTAACGCTGCTTTCAGTTGAAGTGAATTTTATCTAGTTTCCAGCAAATCAATTTTTAATTATTTAAATTAAATATTTCTCGCTAAATATCGCTTCATATTCAACAAAAAACACGACTTAATTAAATACAAAACTTGGATTTTCTACTTTTCTATTGAAAATTGGCCTCTTGTTTATAAGAACTTTTTTGTAGTTCTTGAGATCCGTTGTCACTACTACAAATATTTCCCTTGTTTATGGGACACCCTGAATATATATATATGTGTATTTGAAAATATGTAAACAAATCATTGAATATATTACTTATTTTTATTTTTATTCAAAGGCTTGAGGCAGTGAGATGAACTCTTCTCCGATGCTTCAAATTCGTTGAGGAGAATGTGATAAAATCTTTACTTATATGTTGCTACATATAATTAACTTTGAATATAAACTAAAATAATATACCTACTTCTAGATCTTAACTTAGTCATCTAGTCCACTTTTCTTATTTCCTTAATTGATTTTAGTTTACATATTCAATTCATTCATGTAGATTAATTTTCATTGATTTTGATTTCGTTTTTGTACTTCAAAATTCTTAGGGAGCGGAACGATATTCTCGCCTCCTCTCTATTGTTATTGGAGGAAGAGGGGCGATCACTTGTGTGATGCGTGCACCAGATTTTTTTTTATTGTTAAACCATTATAAGTTTGATAACTTTCATTGCTTTCTTAATTTTCATTTTTATGTAATTTCTTAATTTAACTCTTATTATACATTACAGTACCTATTATTCAATTAAAATTATTATTTCCTTTCTCTATATTATAAATTATAGCAACTCTGTGGCAAGGCAACTTAACTCCATAACTCCAAAAATTAAACTTGGCTCGAAATTTAAAAAAAGATAAAAGAAAATTTATTTAATAAAATGGAGTTAATAAATTCTTAAACCATACTATGGAGGATGAAGTATCGGGTGAAGATATTTTAGAACACAACTTCGAATAAATTATTACATTGATTCCAATTCCCCAACAGAGCAGAGAATTTTGGAAGCTATCCATAAACTCAAAAATGGTTGTTAATAGTAAATTAAGAAAGGAACAGAGTGGATTCAGACCAAGAAGTTTGTGCATCGATCAAATTAACAACTTCAGAATTATAGTTGAACAATTTTCGGAGTTCTAGGAGACTCTATATCTTAAATATATGGATTTTGAAAAAGCTTTTGACAGTATGTCACAAAACAAAATGTGGAAAGCCATGAAAGTTATCCATTGTGGCAGGGTGCCTGAAGCCTTTAATGTTGGAACTGGTGTCAGACAAGGATGTGTTCTCTCCTCTATCTTACTCCTGATAGTACTCGACATCATTTTAAAAAAAGTTCTTCTTAGAGAACGAGGACTTCAGTGAAGACTCACGGAAAGACTCGAAGATCTGGACTTTGCAGATGATTAATGTTATTTCACCTAAAGTTTTTGGGACATGCAGGAGAAACTAAATGAACTCCTGGAAGAAACTAAAAACGCCTGCCCCAAAATAAATGCTACTAAAATGAACTAGATGTGAGTGAATACTAGGAGTCAAGAAAATCTTTTTATAAAAGATGAAATAATTGAAAGGGTTACCGAATTCTGCTACCTTGGGAGTATGGTGAGACAGGATGGAGGGACTGATGAACATGTTGGGAGTTGTATGAGGAAAGCCTTTTTGTATGAGGAAAGTTGCCAAAAAGCATTCTTGCTGCTTTGGCCAGCATGGAGATTCCAAGAAATCAGGAGAGGCCAAGCTTCGCATCTTCAAAACAAAAGTCATGTCAGTTCTGCTATATTCTTGTGGGACTTGGAAAGTTACCAAGCAATGACCAAGAAACTACACACATTCATCAACAGTTGTCTGCGGAATGATAGATCAGGTCATTGCATGTCCAAACTGGATATGGCTGAAAGGAGCACAATGACATAACACGTCAGAGTCTTGATTGGAACCCCCAAAACTAGGGAAGACACAGAGGACATAGAGAAACATGAAGGAGGACTCTTGAGAAGGAAATAAGCAGACTTGGTCTAGAATGAAGGAGCTAGCTAAAGATCGAGATGCATGGCAGAATTTCATGACGGCTCCATGTCTCACCTAAGGGATTCTAGGAACTAATAATAATAATAATAATAAATTTAGATTGAAACATACCTATAATGATGAATCCGTCAGCAGTGTAATTAAAATTATCATAGACCACTGTTGGGGTGATGAGAGGCAGAACTTCTACAGTTGTGTTATAAAACCTATCAGATGGATGTTCAGCATTCCCACTCTTTAGTAAGTATCTTAATAAATAGAAAAAAAATACATAATTAAAAATATTATAAAAAAAATACATAAACAGGGGAATGTTAACTAGTTTTAATAATGAAAATCACATTGACACTTTCATGAACTTATGGCTTAATTTTTAAGTCTAATGAGTAGGTATAAATGAATAGATGTAAAATAATCTAAAAAGAGTAGAAATGATTATGAGATTTGAGAAAGCAACTTATTTGGAAAGTATAACTAATAATTACTTAGTGACATTGACGGGTGAAGTGAACTTGAAGAAGAGGTGATCACCAGGCTGAGGCAGCAGTCCCCAGAAGAACGTTTCTCCTTCATAAGCTCTTTTTAAAGTGTATTGTTTGTAGGCCTTGATCTCTGACAGTACGATTGCTGGTGGGTTATAGTGAGGATAAAATAGCTTCACTTTCCCGAACTGTTTGTCCTGAAAATTAATTCAAATACACTGTTAGTTCTTATTCTTCTTATAGTTCTGCCATTTTAATAAATTTGAATCAATGATAAAGAGGAAAATACGTATACATAGAAATGTGAGAACCTAAACAACTTCTAATATTATAGTATTTATTTAGTAATCCCATTTTGCCTTTCAGCTATGAAGGTATTCAGCTATAAAGTCCTGAGGCCATCTTCTTTTCAGATGCCTCGGAAGGTTATCAGGAATAGAAGAGGAAGCAAGGTTGGAAGCAAGAGTGTTCCGATGGTTCAGAAGTTTATTATGGAAGGAAAGGTATCTGGATTCAGCTAAATTGGAAACATATGGTACATTAAGGTCGTTATGGAAGATTTTATTTGTGACAAAGCAGGGAGAATTGAGGATTTTATGAAGGATTTTGGATTGTTAGGATTGAATACGAGAGGAATTTGATGGTTTAGTAGAGCCCGTAGTCGATCCCGTAAGTCCAAATTGAACTTACTATAGTAATATATATGAGTCTTTTGTAAATAGTTGGAAGTTAAGAGCATTTGTTTAGTAAGTGCTAACAGCGCAGTTGTCGAAAATGTCAGACAGTTTCTAGTCATTTGAGTCTGGTATAGGGGTTCCAAGTGAATGTGTGATTGAAGAGTTTTGGATGCAATAGATGGACCGTTATTAACTGATAGGATACACGTGTCATCGGCATAGGTGGTGATGACAGTGTTGGAATGAGTTGGGATGTCAGCTGTATAAACTGTGTAAAGGATAGGACCTAGGATACTACATTGGGGAACACCAGCAAACTGAGAAAAAAAGAGATGAGTAAGCATTGTTATGATTTACTTTGAAGTATCTGTCAGTAAGGTAGGAATGGATAATGAGGAAATATATAGGTGGTAGGAATTTACAGATTTTGTACATCAGTCCCGGATACCAGACTCCATCAAACGCCTGTTCAAAGTCGAGAAAGACTCCTGTGCAGTACATTCCACACTGCAATGCAGAGGAGACTACATCTACCACATGATGGCATTGCTGAATAGTGGAGTGGGATGTGCGGAATCCAAATTGACGTTTTAAGATGAGTTGTTCAAGGATTTTGTCCATAATGGGTAAAAGAGAGATAGGACGGTAAGAGGATGGGTGTTCTGGTGGCTTTATGGGTTTAGGTATCATTTTGACAATGGATAATTTCCAAAGGTCAGGAAAATATGTGGTTTGGAGTACAGCAATATATATATATATATAGGTGAGGAATAGTATAGCTAAGTTTTAGGATCTGGGATGTGATTAGGTCATGGCCAGGAGCTTTGCGGGAAGGTAATCTATGAATGATATAGGATATTTCTGAAGGATGAAATGCTTTAGGTGGAGGAGTCAATTGGAGTAGGATATCTTTGCTTCAATAAACTCCAGGTGGGTTGGATTAAGGATATCTAGGTGTAGGTATCCATTAAATGTTTTGAAGAGGTGCAGAGAAATATTTGAGATTTTTCTTCATTAGATCTGGACCAGGTTTGGGCTTCAGTAATAAATGGGTGGTTAAAATCTTTGAATTTAAGGAGCTTTTTAGTAGTCAAGCATAGTGATTTGTTAGTAGTAAGTTTTTCTGTCAAGTTAAGTAAATTTTGAATTTTGTATTTTCTAATTTCAGCTTTTGGTTGGTTAGTTAATTTGTTGTAATATGTCTTGTCTGATGGGTCTCTAGTCCTGTGCAACTTTGATCTTGCTCTGCGTTTTTCTCTTAATATGATACGAATATGCTGTGGCAAATTTGTCTGTTGGGAGTTGTTAATTTTATTGGTAGATGTATTATCGTTTATTTTGCCACTTATAGATGTAGTAAGTACTTCTATGGCTGTATCGATGTCATGTTTCGTCTTAAGTGGAATATTTAGGTCCAGTTTATTTTCCAGGTCTTTTAGAAATTTGTCCCAGTTTACTTGTCCTGTAATCAGTGTAAAAAGGGATAAGGGCTTAGGAGCGAAGGTTGCGTGTAATGAAAGGAGAACTGGAGAATGATCTGAGGAGAGGTCATGCAGGGATTTGATTATAACATGGGAAGAGGAAATTTTTTTAGGGAAGTTGGCCAATAGGTAGGATTCATAGTAGAGAGGACAGAGTAACTATTTGAGTTGAGACAGAAGATAGTATGTAGCCACGGGAGTTGGATGCTTGACAACCATATCATTGGTGATTAGCATTGTAGTCTCCTCCAGCAATAAAGCGCGATCCGAAGGATTCAAGCAAGTGTAGGTAAGAGTATGCCCGGGAGGACAGTATACAGCTGAGAGTGTTAAATGGAAAGGAAGAGTTGAAATGATTACTGATGTTGCTTGAATAGCTCCAGTTAGAGTAGAAGGAATGAGAGAATAAGATAAGGATTTATGGATAAGGATGCAAGAACCGGCATTGGAAGTGTTTTCAGAGTGGTCTGATCTATAAGTGATGTAGTCACTTATGTAGAAATATCAATGTTGAGTGAAGTGAGTTTATGTCACTAGAGGAATATCAATGTGGTAGTTATGAAGAAAAAATGTCAAGTTAGTCTCGGTAGTTGAGTAGTCCGTTAGCATTCCATAAAAGAACAGTTAAGGGCTTTGTGCTCATCCTGAGAGATTAAAGGGAATTTTGGTAAGGATTCTTGTGAGGAGGGTGATTAGAGGCATGTTAGTCTCTTGGAGATCTTTCAGGAAAGATGCAAGGGTGGAGTTTATTAAGTCGATCGGGTTTTGTTGGTCAGATTGGTTTTGATTAGGGATTCGTGAGGGATAGCTCTAGATAAAAAGTGTCTGATGAAGAATGTACCCCTCGTGATGTACGAAGGACTGAATCGTTATTAAATAGAACTTGGGAAAGTTCTGCTGATTCTTCACTGTGGTGTCTGAATATAGTTGTCTATAGTCTTGATAGGGATGATCTGTTGATGTAGAAGGCTTATGTGCCAATTGTGGTATTATTTCGTATGGCGATTCAGGAAACACTGCCAAATTTAGAAGTTCAGATGCCTATACCTAGGTAGGATTCTTCTGTTCTTCTTTTTTTAATGATATGTTATAAGTTCTTTGCTTATATAGCTGCTTATAGACAATGCAGCCCCAATAGCTTGCAGGGTGATCCTCACCACAAAGGGCACATTTTGGTGGTTCATTCAACGGTTTCTGGCAGGTGTCAGAGACGTGAGGACCGGCACATTTGACACAACATGCAGAGTGATGGCAGTAATAAATTAAGAAATAAAAACAGAGAGAAAAAAATATTTATACCGTCTTAGATACGAACTCAAGATTGTCTGAACATAATACGAAGCGACATGACTGTGAACTTGAAATATAAGACCAGCTGAGGGGAATTATCTGCCAAGTAAGCTATATCTAGCAAACAAACACCAATTTAATGTTCCTAATTGTAAATAAAAAGTCACTCACCTCACTGATTGTAATGTAAAAATGTTAAATTGTTTATAAACTCACTGTTTACAAAGTCTAAGAACAAGATTTGAGATAATAACCAATTGAGATAAAAACTAGCAAAGACAGAACGATATGAATATTGAACTTCAGTTGCTGCCATGGCACTTGATACTTAATTCATCTGTTAAATAGCTCCCTTTTGAAAATTAACAATGCTATTGCTCTTTGATCTTACTTCTCCAATTCTTTCATAAATTACATGATTATCATCTCAAAACCACTAATATAATAAAATTCCTAGTTTTAATGTTACTATATGATTTAATCCTATGATTATAGTAATTTTTTCATTGAAAAAAATCAATAGTAGTAGTAAAAATAATATTCTAGATGTTGGAATTATGAAAATAAAACAGTTGAAGTTGAAATGTCATTAACTTGTAGCCATATAATTTTATATAAAATAGTTTTATGTAAAGTTATTTTAAGACCAGTATATGAGGTCGATTACATAGAAGGCAGAAGTGATCCTACTTGGAAAGAAATACAAAGTATCGATGAAGATTCCTTAAGAAATCCACGGGTGATATCAGCAGATTAACAAGAATGTGTACTCTAACTGTAAGACATTTAGAAAGACAAACATTGTCCAACTTATTAATGAAAACTAAGATAATTTGAGAAAGGAAATGTAACATTATCCCTACCATTTCTTAAAAATAATTCAGTGTGACGAAAGAATAAGTGGAAAGGCTTGAACACTGGTTTGGAATATAAAAATATGAGCTAGACAGATTATGTGGAAGAAGTAAAAATATTGACAACAGATAAGGTTAAAATTAGGTATAAATTCCTTGTCCTTAAAATAATTATTAACGCTACTAAATAATTAAATTAGTATCAAAAATATTAATTCATTAATAAACGGATTTTACCTTTAACTTCTGAACTTTTCCCTTAAGAGATGAATGAGTACCTATGTGTTGAAAAAGAGAGGGCTTGTAATGTATCCAAAGTTCGTCTTTTGCTTTTCTGCAATGTTTCTATAAAAAGAAAAGAATATTGAAAGTAAAAATATTTTGAAATACTTAAAACTGAATAAATAATATTTTCTAATAATGAAAATCAACATAATTGAATACTAGAAAAAAATCTACTATTAAAACTACATTGTACAATCATTATTACCATATCCTTTTCTAAATTACAACTTTTAGTGTGGATCAGATGATCAAGTAACCAATCAACTGGTTTATCATTGTAGAACATGAAGAAAAATTGTATCAGCCATGGAAGTTCCACACAACGAAACATTTTACCTAAAATAATAGGGAGATGAGTAATAAAAATGAAAGATAAGAAAAATCTGCAGATGAAATAATATAAAATAATTGTAATAACTGAAATAAACACAATTAATAACAGTATCAATAAACATATTAACTAAACACTTTATTATCGATAACTTTTCTATTGTGTAATATGCTGGCTTATCGTTAAGGTATCACAATAAAAATTGTAATAAACTGTTCTTTTAGGGAGTGAAAGTTTGAAAAGATAGAAAAACAAACAAATTATAATTTATAGCACTAATTTTTTTCATTAATCTAACAGTCAATTTGATTTAGTAAAGAAATGAAATAAATACCAATGAAACCAAGCTGGCAGAAGTCCAGGACAAACCACGGTTTTTTATTGGCTATCCTTTCAAGAGCTACACTTTTCATTGTTGAGATGAAGTGGGGCTTCGCCAAGATATCATCCTCCAGTTGGATATAAAACATAGCCTTTGGTTGAGCATACATCATCAGAAAAGCAAAGTCCAAGTTCTGTTTTGTACGCCAGCGAACTCGCTCAGGGGCATCACCAAGTGTTGTTCTGAGGTGGTTCATATCTGGGTAGTAGCTGGCAGGAGGAGATATAATCTCAAGCAGACCAATGTTTATTTCATTTTCAAATCTAGAAAATATAATAAGGAAGGAAATCAGTTAAAATAATATACTCATTTAATCAGAATAAACTGAATAATGAATAAACCACCCTGAAAAATAATGATGAAAATTTGTATGAAAGAAATATTTACAGCTATTTTTTGGTATTTAAATGTTCCTCTAAAAGCTAATTTAAATAAGGAAATTTATTATTTCAGTCACAAAACACCAAAATAAAAATGAGTTTAAATAATAATATTTCCAATAAAATAGAATTAATTCTATAGTTCTTGGCTACAATTATTAAGAATACAAATTATACTGACTGTTCTCGAAGTTCACCAGCAACTGATAGAACATATTCTTCATCCGTCTGAAAGACATAAAATTTAAAATAAATTGGTTGTATCAGTGATTTTTTTAAAAGTAATTTATTTCTCATTTGAGTTTCTCAAATTCGAGGTTTTCTTGAAAAGAATAGTTTATCAGCTACTTAAAAAGATCATCATCATCATCATATTCATTCATCTTGAAAGACCTACAGATAGAGTGGAGTAAATAAACATGTATGAAGTTTTCAAGCAGGGTAGCTCAGTGGGTTAGCACTGACTTCCAGAGCACAAGATCCCAGGTTCGAATCCGGCTGATGTCTAGTAATTTTTCATTAGCTGTGGATAGACTCTGGGGATGAAAGACCCTACTGGGGTACACCTAGCCTCTATAAAGTGGGTACTCTTAATTAAATAATTAATTAAGGGAGAAAACCTGATGGTTGAGCGTGACATCGGCCCAATCATCACCCTGAAGGGACTGGAGTAGCTCAGTGAATGAGCACTGATTTTTCATCACTGATTTTTTCACTAGCAATTTTTCATCAGCCGTAGATCGACTCTGGGGTCAGGAGACCCTCTTGGGCAAGGGTACCCAGTAGGGGGTTTCATGGTGCAAGTTGCGCCATCAAAATTTTGAGAGGAGCAAATTTCGACAGGATTATGAATTTTCGGACCAAGGGACAAATGGGGAACAAACATGGAATAGACTACAGCAGGTATAATTGTATATGATCTACGATTTATCTAATTCTAAATTAGGTTGCTTTGTTTTTAAGAAAAGGAGACTAATAAAATATCTTGGGAGGAGAGGGGAGAGGGTACATTCTTCTATAACTATTACTATTATCCTCAGAAGTGATTCTTTATTTATCAATAAAGAATTTAAAAAACAAAAAACAAAGAAGAATAAAAATTTTGGAAATTATTTACCTCTGCAATAAGTACTACAATAACAGCATCATTCTGTTCTTCTGTGCTCATTGAGTTTATCAGATTCTGAAGAGTTGACAAAAGGTAACTTTGTACTGCTCTCTTAACAGTTGGTACACCCATTATGACAGAAACTAAAACCAAAAATAAACAACTGAAGTAATGTAACTTAAAAGTAAGTGAATACTGAAAAACAAAACACTAAAAAATAGTAATATAGCTATCATTTACACAGTTTTGAACTTATACAGGCTGTTTCATGGTTTTAAGTGGCCAACTGCAAAAATGAACAAAGGACCTCAAAACAAGAAAAACATTTCCTCTGAAGGTATGTCCGCAAACGCTTTGTTTAGGAGATATTCACACCTATAGGCTGTCCTTGTTATGAATTATTTACGTTATATGAAATAAATGAAATCTAATTATTTGTTCTAACTACTTTATTAATTATATGTAAACATTAACATTCACATTAAATGTTGTTCAAAGTTATTTCCTTGAGCATTAAGACAGGCTTGGCATCTTTCTTCAACAGCAGCAGTGGCAGAACAGCACTGGATATGTGTTATTGTTTCACAAGATTCAATTATCATGAAGGAATTAAGATCATTGACCGGACTAACGACATGAATTCTGAAATACAGAGGCGCATCATGGCTGCAAATAGAGCTCATTTTGGTCTCCAAGAGCATCTCAAAAGTAGAGTGATCTCTCGTAAAACCAAGCTGCTCCTGTACAAAACCCTGACCAGAACAGTACTAACACATGGGTCTGAGTGCTGGACAATGCTAAGAGCCCATGAAACAGCTCTCCTTTGATTTGAATGTCGTTTTCTAAGAAGAATATTCGGCCAAATAATAAATATTAATCAGGAGCGACGAATGCAATCCAACAATGAGCTGATGCAGCTATATAAAGAAGCCAATGTTGTGCCAATTACAAAAAGAATTTCTTATTACATTTAATTGACTTGTCTAACATTCTATGTCATATTATTTTCGATACAACTAAATTTATCTAAAATTATACATAAAGTATACACTTTTTCTTATAAAAAAACCATACATGTATGTAACTTTAAACATTAAAACTTTACATTAAAAACAATTGACTATTATCTTGATGAGTCTTCCTTTATATGTTCATCATTAACGTTGTAATTAATATGTTCAGTGAACATTAATTTGTCATTTTATATAGGGACTTCGCCCACGTCATTTCTGGAGGGACTGACTTATATCGTCCTGGTGGGGATAGTCAAAAGGAGAGGGATTTTCCTTCTAATGTTTTGCATTGGTGGATTATTATACGATGGTGCTCGAGGATAGATTGAAGTGACTCATGAATTCCTGCTTAAAATTTGTCTTCAGTACTTCGAGACAGTGTCATGTGTCCCACCTTTACGACGAGGTAAAGTGGCTCATCCCTTCTTTACGTAGGCAATATTTCCTTGGATCTTTCCAATTCCAAACAATCAACACCCGACACTCTTCCTAAATCTACAGTCTTCTACAGTTCAAACCCATGGTCCATTCCCAGAAAACAAGATCCCATGTTTCCGACCTTTATGTCCCTTCCCATAGAACTAAGACATTTGAGTATTCCTTTATTGCTTGATGCATTGCCTTCTAGAATTTCTTGCCATCTGATATCCGCCATGCCTCTTTCTTGTTCCCATTCAAGTATCATTTCTACCAATTTCTCCTCACATCACAAAATGACGTACAATGAAATAAATATTATGAAACAAATTTTGACTGAGGTAAATGGTTGTTGAAATTGTTTGAGTTTTAATTTTTAAAATCAACCCATGCTTGTATTATTTTGTTTTTTATTTTATCTGATTTCTGTTTTTATTTTCATTTAAATAATGTTTTTTTTTTTTTTTTTAAATGTTGTTACTTTCTATTTGTTTTAATATACTTTCACTGAAGATACTATATATATTCTTTAATGTTGATTAATGTAGTTTTTGGCCAGATGTGGTTTTTATTTTTTGTTCATAATTGTAATTTGTAAGGGACCTCGTCCCAGAATAAAGTTTATTTTCTATCTATCTATCTAATTAAATTAAAAGAAAAGTTCCTTAAAATGGATTCTTGCAAAAGATGTTAAAATATTCAATAAGAATGTGGACATCAAAACAAGAAAGTTTATTCATGATAAATTTTATTGTTGAAGAGTAATCTTACCTCCAGTCCTGCCTTTAGACAGACAATATGCAGGCCGCAGAGGGCTCTGCCCTAGGAGAAGGTGAGGCAAGAAGTGGTAAGCAGAAGGGGGCCTAAGAAGGCCCGTAGTGTTCAGGAGCCCCCGGGGATCAGTGACATTGGTCTCCCCCGCCAGGACTTGGCCCAGGTGTTGTGAAAGCACGTTCACATCCTCCTCTCTGGCCCTATAGAGGGCGTCCAGATGTTGGAGGCGCAGCTGCAGCTCTGCCATCCTCTCCACCATTGCCTCTTCACCGGCCATGTCTGGAACAGTTATTTCAAAACAGATTAGCTAGATAATATGATTCTCTGATAAAGTGTAGATTTGTCACTTATATATATATATATATATATATATATATATATATATATATATATGTGCATGAAAAGATAAGTTTAATGGAATGAATAAATAAATAAACTTCTATTATGGGTAAGAAATATTCCAATTTACTTAAAATAATTCCATCACAAAAATAATATCTGAAGTATGAAAAGAAAAGAAATGAAAATAGTAAGGAATCTCTGAGAAAGCAAAGAGTACTATTTGTAACTTTGAAACTTCTTTGTAAGTTGTTCTCATGAACGACTCAAGTTATGTAAAAATTGAGAATTTAATGTTGTCATCATCATACCAAAATAAACACCAGTATGTGTTCTTTTATTTTATTTACCAGTATATAATCAATTATATAATCTTATGCAAGAGCAAAACAGTTGTTAAACTCAAATTTTTATTTTAGTTGCACAAAAACTTTGGGTGATCCTTGAATTTCTTGAAGAAAATTTTTATCATATAGGTATAAGAATAACATTTATTGCCTGAACATTTTCCTGATAAGTTAAAGAAATACTTTTAAAATCAAAAATATTTTTAAAAGTTTATGACTCTTTCAACTCTTCAATGGAAAACTCACGGGGAAGAAGAAAAAGTTTGGAGGCATAAGAAAAAGATAAAGAAAGAAAGAAAGAAAGAAAGAAAAAATGAACAAAAAGTTCCTTATTTGTGTCAATGTCTATTTTGATCATTATAAAGTTACAATACTAAAACAAAGCGTTCTGAAAAGAGGTGATAATGACTGGACTTATTTTGATATGAGAAGAATGATGTGATAGGATAAGAACAATATCCCTGTGAATAATCCTGTCATCAAAATTAACACCAGTATGTGTAAACATCCTCTCACTCATTTTCTATTCTAACAACTTTTTGAATTGGCTAATATGCCCATGCATAAAGCAAAAAAAAAAAAATCTTTTTGAATCCCAATCCACAAAGTTGTCTAATCTTAATATTAAAATAAAGAATAGACACTGTAGAAAATACATGATCTTGAAGTGAGTTCATGGCATACGTACAAATTAAGCAATATGGCACATACATAGATATCTGCAAGATATCAATATAATGTAGCTGATATCTCTACAGTACAAAATAACTTTATTTTTACATATATTCGGAAGATTGATTACTGAGGAGATAGAAAAATAAATTGTGTTTAAATAAGGTCAAGAATGAGGATTTCCTTACAGAGATTGATAGGGAATTCCAAAACGTGGTAGCAGGAAGGATTTTTTAAAGGAAACAGTTCTATGAGAAGAAATAAACCAATTTGACGACTTGGATCTCGTGTTGAAGAAATGAACAGGGCAGCAAGGAGTAAAGAAATCAAGAAGGTAAGAAGGTTTTTTTGTTGTAAAGGTTCGGAAAAGGAATAAACCTAGGGAGGAGGAAGAAGTTTTATTGGGAATGATTACTGTTTGGATCTTTGATACATAAAATAATGGAACCATTTTAGAGCACTATTTGATATTGAAAGGTTTTAGAGTTTGGTAAGAAGGATTTCGTGATTAACTGAATCGAAAGTTTTTGAAAAATCAAAGAGGACTAGGATAGAGACTTTCTTGTTTGTCTATAGAGAAATGAAGGACCTGGAAAATTTTTAGCAAAGCGGATTGGGTGGATAAGTGGGATCCGAAACCAGACTGGAAGGGATTGAGGAAAGCTTCTTGCTCAAGGAAGATATTAAGGTGTGAGTGAACTATCCTTTCAAGAGGCTTTGAAAGATTGGAGAGAATAGAGATGGTCTGAAATCGGAAACTTTGGAGGGAACCGGAACTTTGCTCAGTGGGCGGACAATATTTTTTTTTCCCAGGTGACGGAAAACTGTAATTTTGTAAGGAAAAATTGTATATATGAAGCAGGAATAGGACAGGGAAGATGACTGGAAGACATAATTTGATTAACTTCACAGTAATTAGGTTCGGACCATAGTCGTTTGTTCTAGATTTTAGGACAAAGGAAAGTAGTATTTTATCTTCTGGTAAAATATTTATAAAATAGAAATTTTCTCATACAAAGGAAGCTTTAGGAATACAGTATGAGGAGGAAAGTGGTAATGAATCAGGATTGGCGAAGTGGGATTTGAATTGATCTGAACAAACAGGGTAGGAGGTGCAGGTTTTTGAATTTACCACGGAGAGGTTTTTAAGGATTTTCCATCTGGACTTAGGATCTGAGGCTTGTGATAAGGAAGTACGAAAGAATTGTGCCTTAGCACATAGCAAGGAAGATTGGGCAAGGTTTCAAAGAGTCTTAAAAAAGAAGTAGTTATTCGGATTAAGTGTTCGTCTGAAACGCCTCCTTGCAGCATATCTTCTCTTCATCAACTCTCTTATTTCTGAATGAATCCAGGGAGCAGCAGGGCGTCTGAAGGCTGAGGTCTTTAAGGGGGCGTGCTGACTTAGGAATAGGAGAAGGTTTGAGGGAAAACACTCCACCATTTCATCAATAGAGGAGTAGGCATATATCGGATCTAAGGATTGGGCTAGTGATTCAAGGAAAGGATTTAATTTTTCACAGGTCAATGAGCCAAGATCCCGCCAAGTAATTTGCCTGGGAATGAACTTAGAAGTCAAGATACTAAGGAAATCTTACTTAATGAGATCATGATGATAAAGGAAGAAAGTTCTGAGCGGAGGATAAGAAATTTTGAGCGGAATCGATTAGAAAAAGGTCGAGCCATATGCTTGAGAACTGGATATGGTGAGTAGGTTGAAAAGGAACGATAAATAGGCCAAGAGAATGGATTAGATCTATAAGGTATGAATTGTCAGGGGAGTCGGAGGATAAACTAGTATTAAAGTCACCGGCTATTATTACATTGTTGTATAAAGGAACGTAGACAAAAACGGAGGATTCGAAGGCAAGATCAAATGAGAAATGGGGATATGCAATAACGTAAAGGAAAGAAAAAGAATTTGAGGAAATTTCTACAAATAAATACTCTAAGTGAGGAAAATCGGGAGAGAGATTGGTGCACTTTTTTTTCCCCTCAGACTCTCATCAACGTAAAGGCCAACACCACCACCTGTTCGATCATGACGGATGAGGGCATGGTTAGGAATGGATATAGAGGAAGAGAGAATATTAGGTTTGAGCCAGGTTTCCAAAACGGCAATAATATGATAAAAATTATGAAGAAAATAATCTTGGAATTCATCAAAGTGAGCGAAAAGGGATGGGGAGTTAGCAGGGCACATTAATAGGACATCAGCCATTTAAGGATAGAGAAGGATATAGATCTTTGAAAGTTTGGACAGGAATGGGACAATCGAAAATTAGTGAATTTCAGTTTCCACTATGCAAAATGCAGTAAAACTGAGAAAAATTAGATAAATGATGATGAGACTTAACAAAATGATTAGTAATTGCAACTGAAAAAATTGAGTGACATTTCACACTACAAAAAGCAATAAATAAAATATTAATAAAGAGATACATAGAGATAATGTGCAATTATGAGTAAAAATATAATCTAAAAAAAAAAAATATCTGAATATTCAGACTAATATAAGACATAAAATAATATTCCTTAGATAAATATTTAAAAAAAAGACAGATAAGTTCTCGTATCTAAGAACAAAACATAAAGCAGAGTGGTCACGATTGGCATTCCATCATTCGTATGCAACTAGATCTTCGGCCATGATGATGATTACGACCTGCAAATCGTCGTTTTTTCGGGCATCTAACACGCCCTCTGGAAAACCATAATATTGAGAAACACTTAGGTTTCAATTAGATCTCTAATGAAATATTTAACAAAAAATATCTAAGAATTAAAGCTTATTCCCTATTTAAACCACTAATACTTTGGTAATATCGTAATTAATAGTTTAAATACCAGAAATAAAAACAGTAGGAATATAAAGCTTTCTCCAGGATGAGTCTCAAATGCAAGAAGTTAATGCTGGACAGGGAGAAAATCCTCTCGCTTCATAATATTTTTTCTGACCTAAAAATCTCCTTTCCTTCTGGAAAGAAAAACAGAATTTCCATTATTCACAGTTATCCTCCAGTTAACTCGGGAGGGGTTTGAGAGAATGGCCTGGATAAATATTCCGAATACTCAGATGACTATTTTTGGTTCATCGACCATTCCATCGTTTTTATATATTTCCAATAAGGGAACGGTATTTAGAGTAAGGTTTATTGAAAATATTGCAATGGACCGATTATATTCCTTTAAAAATATTTTATTTTTATATAGCATTACATTATTGAAATAATCGTACTCTCATACATTTCCTTTCTTTCTAATATTTCGAGGTTTTTTTTATCCTCGCCTTGAACGAGATTTTTCTTTTGTATTTCTTATCTTTATATCCATGCTGATATTACGTATTTATTAGATCCAACAGAAGTTGGATTTTAGTAATAATAACCCTAACCATGTCCCAACTACGTCTATTATTATTATACATCCTTAGGGAAGTGGAAAGCTGTTATACAGGTATGTATAAATATATGATTATATATGTTGATTTTTGTAAAGCTAAGGAAGTGAATCCTTTTTCAAAACATCCTAATTATTAATCAGAGGTGTCGTTAAGAAAACAAATGAAATAAAATATTTTTTGATTCTTTCAAGATAGTTTTAAAAACTTTCCTCAATTGCTGATGCAAATGAATAACTATTGCAGTATTTATTGTACACAATTGTTTGAACTTTTACTTTTCATCCATATTATAGGAGCACTATGTTCTTCTTTAATTATCCATTAGTAATTATCTAAGAAATAAACTTAATTGACCATATAGATAAAATAGGTGGGAGGATTGTTACATCATTAACTTCCTGAGGTAATCAATTGAACCTTCGGGTTCGCTAAGTTTTATTATTATTACTCTTATAATATTAAAAATATAAACTTATAATATTGATTGTATAACTTTATTTATCGAGGTTATATTAATGGTTTGAGTAATGACACTGAAGTGAGAAAAAAGAGAATGCATAAGC